TCTGGCGGATAGAATTTCGGGAACCAATTGAGCTGACAAATAGCGGAACCAATCGAGCACATCACGATCAACAAGAGAAAAGAGCATTTCAGCTTTTACGAACAAAAATTCGGAAACCGTTTTCTCGTGACTCAAGGCTCAGATACGCAAACCAACACCATCAGCGGCTAGGAAAGTTTCCCCTATCTGATGAAGTTGTTAATTTGCGTTCGGTTGGCGATGATAGAAGTATCCATGTTTTGTCTATAAAAGTTGATGGCACCTTTTTAAATATTGATCTTCAATATATTGAATTGGTTCCGCTTCGAAATTCTATCCGCCAGACTATAAATATAGCGACTATAGTTCGCACTCGCTCGAAGTTGCTCGGACTTACTATCTGTTAAAAATAACTGTCAAATTAGGGGGAACGACACTCATTCAGATGCATTATATTTCAAAAAAGACTTGGCGTGAGAGTGGATGGAAAGAATAGACGAGTGCACGGGTGAACTTTTGTTCATCTACTGAAAAAAAATTTGACACAACAGCGGGGCCCTGTTTACTAAAAATGAACACATGAATAATGCTCACGTAACATTTGAAAAGGGCCTATCAACTTTTGTAAATAATTTGCTAGCTCCTTTCCACGAGAACCGAATACGTCCACGTAAACCAAGAGCACTATCGGAAAGGGGGGAATTTCCCCTACCCGATGGTGATGTTAGTTTGCGTGGGCGTATTCGGTTCGCGCGAAAAAGGCTTAACAAGTTTTGTGTACGAAAGTTGATAGGCCGGTTTCAAATGTTACGTGAGTATTATTCATGTGTTCATTTTTAGTAAACAGGGCCCCGCTGTTATGTCACTTTTTGTCGAGTGAGTGAACTCAAATCCATCCGTGCACTCGTCTATAGATCGGATTAGACAAAAGGATAAACAGGGATGTTCAGGATGTCTTGAAAAAAAACAATAGGGAATGCATAAAAATAGAACAATCTAATTTTTTTTCGTTGATGTGGATGCTAATGCGGATTTGAGGATAAAATCGATGTGGGATGAGGATGTGCCATTCCCCCTGTGTCAAACCTACCTAGAGCGACTACGAACTTGTTCGACCTGCTTGTCTCAATGAACACCCTTTTGAAGCGATTTGCAATTTTCTTTATTTGTGCAGTGCAAAATTCTAATTGGAAGAAGATTCGTTTCTTCTTGTTCTTCTCTGAAATCATCGTGGTCATATGTCAAAATCGATCTCTGCGACAACTTCAACATGACAATACTTAACAATGGAGAAGTAACACGTTTGGCTGGTCCATCCTCGAATGGTAGCAGATTAGACCTCACCTTTTGCTCCAATTCACTATCGTTGGATTGCACTTGGCATGTAATCCAGGATCCGCACGGTAGTGATCATTTGCCGATCAAAATTTCAATTGCCAGTGGGTTCAACTCGTCAGAATCCGTTAACGTCGCGTATGATCTAACCCGTAACATCGATTGGACTAAGTTCCAATCCGCGATAGACGATACAGTATCGTCAGTGGAAGAGCTTCCGCCGTTGGAGGAATATAATTTCCTCTCTAATCTCATCGTCGACAGCGCACTTCAAGCTCAAACACGACCGGTGCCGCGATCGTCAATCCGTAAGAAAATACCATCGCTCTGGTGGGATCAACAATGCACGGAGGTTTACCGTAAAAAGTCCGACGCGTTTAAACTTTTTTGGAAACGCGGAACACGCGAGCATTTCGACGCATACACATCTCTTGAACGCGAACTCAAGAGCCTCATCAAGGCCAAAAAACGGGGTTACTGGTGGCAGTTTGTAGACGGATTGTCGCGCGAAACGTCTATGAATACGCTTTGGAGTACGGCGCGAAGAATGCGTAACCGGTCTATTAACAACGAAAGCGAGGAATGCTCGGATCAATGGATTCTTAAATTCGCGCGAAAAGTGTGTCCGGATCCAGTCAGCCTTTTTCAATGGTGGAACTTTCTCTCGCTCTCCTTTCGTGTGGCAATTCTGCCCCGGAATCTGATAGAACCAACTTGCTGAAAAACCTCCCAGACGTCGCTAAGAGGCGCATGTTGAACTTGTACAATCAGTTCTTGGAGCTCAATATTGTTCCCGACGATTGGAGACGAGTAAGGGTGATAGCCATTAAAAAGCCTGATAAACCCGCGTCGGATCACAATTCGTATCGGCCCATCGCGATGCTGTCGTGTATTCGGAAATTGATGGAGAAAATGATCCTTTTTCGCCTCGACGAATGGGTTGAGACGAACCACCTTCTTTCAGATACTCAATTTGGTTTCCGTAGGGGTAAGGGAACGAACGACTGTCTCGCGTTGCTTTCCTCGGAAATTCAGTTAGCTTTTGCTAAGAAAGAGAAAATGGCTTCTGTGTTCTTGGATATCAAGGGGGCTTTTGATTCAGTATCCGTTGAAGTTCTTTCAGAGAAACTCCACGCTTGTGGATTGTCTCCATTAATGAATATTTTTTGTACAATTTGCTGTCAGAAAAACATATGAGCTTTTCTCATGGAAACTCTACAGCTTTTCGATTTAGCTACATGGGTCTCCCCCAAGGCTCATGTTTAAGCCCCCTTTTGTACAATTTCTACGTTAGAGAAATTGATGTCTGTCTTAGTGACAATTGCACGTTGAGACAACTTGCTGATGACGGCGTAGTGTCTATCACAGGGCCAAAAGAGGTTGACCTGCAAGGACCCTTACAGGATACCTTGGACAATTTGTCTACTTGGGCTATTCAGCTAGGTATCGAATTCTCCACGGAGAAAACTGAGTTGGTCGTTTTTTCTAGGAAGCATAGCCCAGCACAACCGAAGCTTCATCTTTTGGGTAAACCGATCACTCATTCCATGTCTTTTAAATATCTCGGGGTCTGGTTCGATTCCAAATGCACCTGGAGATCCCACATTGAGTATCTGAGACGAAAATGCCAACTAAGGATCAATTTCCTTCGATCAATTACCGGAACGTGGTGGGGAGCCCATCCACAAGATCTTCTGACGTTGTACCGGACAACGATTTTATCGGTTTTAGAGTACGGTAGTTTTTGCTTCCAGTCGGCAGCTAAAACGCACATCATCAAGCTGGAACGGATGTCTTCGTATCGCGTTAGGATGCATGCACTCGACTTATACTATGAGTCTCGAAGTGCTGGCGGGCATGTTGCCACTATCCGTCCGTTTTTCAGAGTTATCTCTGAGGCTCCTCACCCGTTGCGAAGTAATGAACCCACTGGTGATCGAAAATTTTGAGAAGCTTCTGGGGCTAAATCCTCAAACATGTTTTATGACTTTGTACTACCTATATTTAACACAGGATGTTAGCCCTTCAAGAAATATTCCCAATCGTGTAGTCTTCTCCGATTTCGGCAATTCAGTGAATTTTGATTTATCTATGACGCAGGAAATCCGCGGAATTCCAGAGCATCATCGTCCTATGATTGCTCCGTCATTATACGCTGCAAAGTTTGGCCATGTTGATTCTGCAAGAACGTTTTTCACAGATGGATCTCTAATAGAGGAGTCCGCTGGTTTTGGTGTTTTTAATGAATTTCATAGCGCCTCTCGAAAACTTGAAGCTCCTTGTTCTGTGTATGTGGCTGAACTGGCAGCAATTCACTACACTTTGGAAACTATTGCTTCACTTCTTCCACACCACTACTTTATTTTTACGGATAGTCTCAGTTCTGTCGAGGCTATCCGTTCCATTACGCCGGTAAAGCACTTCTCGTATTTTCTCTTGAAAATACGAGAACTGCTTAGTGCTTTATCCGTGCGCTCTTTCATGATCACCTTTGCGTGGGTCCCTTCGCATTGCTCAATTTTGGGCAATGAGAAGGCGGATTCACTTGCGAAGGTGGGCGCTATGAAAGGCGACATTTATGATCGACAAATCGCCTATAGTGAATTTTTCTCTATTTATCGTCAGCAGTCGCTCGTTAGCTGGCAACATCAATGGAGTGAAGGAAGCTTGGTACGATGGCTACATTCAATTATCCCTAAGGTGTCGAAGTTTGCATGGTTCAAAGGGTTGGACTTGAGTCGAGACTTCATACGCGTGATGTCTCGTCTCATGTCCAATCACTATTGCCTAAACGCTCACTTGTTCCGTGTGGGGTTGGGAGACAGCAATCTCTGTGAATGTGGACAAGGTTACCAGGACGCTGATCACATCCTTTGGTCTTGTGCGGAGTATCGTGGAGTCAGATCACATTTTTATGATTCCCTTCGGGCTCGAGGTAGACAACCTAATGTTCCAGTTCGGGATATTTTGGCTAGACGCGATCTGGAGTTTATGAAACTCATATATGTTTACTTTAAGGATATTAACCTTAGATTGTAAGTTTGATTAACCTTGTGTTTAGTTTGTATTTTGTACGTGTGGGTTTTTTTTTCAATGTTTGTTTTCAAGATGAATAGAAATAATTTCATGCTTTATGATTAATTAAATAGTTGTATCGTAAACCACATTTCAAACATCCTTCTTCCCTTTTCCCATCCAAAAAATTGTAAATCTCCACTAACCTCGAGACAACCGCGAGTACTCGGTCCAGTTCCTTTAACTTTAAATTTAAGACAGTAATAATGTATAACGCAAAAGATAACTCGGCTCTGTAAAGTTTAATCGATTGAGCCTGTACAAATAAAGTAATTATAAAAAAAAAAAATATGTCAAAATCGAAACCGAGTTCGACCTGTTAGAACTTACTACTAGCATAGTGCGAGCTGTTTCAACCACATCGCATTCGTTAGTGTTTTGGCTGTATGAACACCAGTACAAACAACTCAAAGTAGGTTGGATCGGCTGTATGAACGCCAAAAAATAGAACGAACTTTGTTGCGATCTGTTTCGACCAACCAATATTCTCGGGTTCGTTCGCAACATTTCCATATAAACATACACACGCAAACGAGAATATTGGCTTTTATTTAATATGACATTACAGTAGGAAGATCCATACCCATTCATATGCATTTTTATATTCACAGATTTTGGTCCGGCTTTTCTTTCACTGTAGTTTATGCAGCACTTTTGACAAAAACCAACAGAATCGCGCGAATATTCAATGCAAGCACGAAATCTGCAAAGCGACCTTCATTCATTAGTCCACACTCACAATTAGTTATATGTGGTATCCTCATATCGTTCCAGGTAAGCAATGTTTAGAGGTAAATATGTATCACTATTATTTTATATTTTTTGTGTTCTGACCATGATCTGTACGGCCGTTGAGTCTGACGCATATTTGAGTTCCATTTATTCAAATTCGCAAAAACGTATTTCATTCATAAACTGAGAAAATTTTTTACTCAAATACGAGTAAATGTCACATTTGAGTGACATTTAGTCATGCATGAGTGACAGTTACTCATGCATGTCGTGTACATTGTACAGTGACATCTTCTTATTCTTTGGCTTCCACGTTCCAATTGAACCTTTGTGTCTGCTCTCAACTCTTTTGAGAACATGCACAGTTATAAAATGAGAGCGCTCTAGCCTTGTAATATTTATGCTATCATATATGTGGCAAGTCGAGAAATTTACATTCCGAAAAATGTATTGCCAGGACAGGGAATCGAACTCGCCGCGCATTTTTCGATTGTGTGTCAACTTCGCTCTAAGAGCGTCACAAAAAGCTACGTCATGATTCGTAGTGAGCACTTACAAATCGTAAAACCCAAGAAGAATACTAAGATGAAAATGTCGGAAGAAAAACTATCTATTTTATGTCGTTTTCGTTTTTGCGGTGTAGCACTGGTGTAGTGTAAGCAGGAATAAGTGCGAGTCTTTGACAGCTCAACATCATTTGTTTGGTGGTGCAAGGTGCATCCTATATCTACATCCTAAAATATTTCGGTGTACGGCAGTGTAGCACCGGTGTAGCTACACCGCAAAAACGAAAACGACATTAGTGTCCTCTTTCACGGTCCCTTTCATCCAATGAATACCCCCCGTATGCAAGGTAATTTTGTGGCTTTACTGCCCCCTCGGTAGAGATGAACTTTTGCGCACTTTTTTTCAAAACAATCACACCAAAATCAGAGATGTCCCATTTTTTAATTACTCGATTAACAACTAATCGATTATTTTGACGTAGGACTACTTCTTTGATTTCTATATGCGGGTACACTTTTTGAAAACCGAAAATGAAACATGTAACAAATTAGGAAAGATTTTAAACGTTAATAACTCAGCTGCCCTTGGTCCAATTTCAATAATTTTATCACCTACGCATCGCTAACAACATACTATTGAAAAACTGGTAAATGTCCAGCATTGTCCAAAAGCGTCAAATTAACTAACAAATTCATCAATTACCTACATGCATATGCTGCTTCCCCTGCACAGTCGTCAGATAGTAGTAAGTAGACGAAACAAGTCGAAGTGGCATTTGCCTCCGATACTCGGGCACGTGCAAATAGGGAGGATGGAATTGCGTAATATTTTGCACACTCATCGCCATATTCAGAACCACACGCTCCCAACGACCACAGAAAATGCTCTCCAGAGTTGTAATCTTATAACCAAACATGGAAACAGGGGATACACTCAAAAAATATATCACATTTGTAATGCATGAAATCCATGTGAATTCCACATAGCTTTCCAAATAAAAGTTGACAACAACCTAAAGAAATCGTTTATGGACTTTGTCGTTCAGTTAAAGGGTGATACGGTCAAAATTTGGTCAAGGGAAAACGCGTGTAAATCGGTGAAATCGTTTATTTAAAAAATCAAATTAAATTTATTTTTCAAGTTCAATTAGTATAAAATTCAGGAAAAATATTCAGTTAGGCTTCCGCTTTTCCAAATCCGAATTGTCGGGCCTTACGCTTGACCCCTGCCATCAGATTTTGTACAGCCACCTTGTCCACCTTCTTCGCCGCAGAAAGCTAGTTTGCCTTGAACTGCTGCTCGCCCTTAGCAGTTTTTTTGGTCTTCTTTAGGTTCCGCTTGACAATAGCCCAGTATTTCTCAATTGGGCGGAGCTCTGGCGTGTTGGGAGGGTTCTTGTCCTTGGGAACCACCTGCACGTTGTTGGCGGCGTACCACTCCATGGCCTTTTTACCGTAATGGCAAGATGCCAAATCCGGCCAAAACAGTACGGAACAACCGTGTTTCTTCAGGAAAGGCAGCAGACGTTTATTCAAACACTCTTTCACGTAAATTTCTTGGTTGACAGTCCCGGAAGCTATGAAAATGCTGCTTTTCAAGCCACAGGTACAGATGGCTTGCCAAACCAGATATTTCTTTGCGAACTTTGACAGTTTCATGTGCTTGAAAACATCTGCTACCTTTCCCCTTCCTTTTGCCGTATAAAACTCCTGTCCCGGAAGTTGCTTGTAGTCGGCTTTGACGTAGGTTTCGTCGTCCATTACCACGCAGTCAAACTTCGTCAGCATCGTCGTGTACAGCCTCCGGGATCGCGCTTTGGCCGTCGTATTTTGTTTATCATCGCGATTTGGAGTCACTACCCAACAAACAATTTTAGCTGCAGACTAGCTTATACAGGCAAAAATTAGCTGTATAAGCCAATTTTTGGCTGTATAAGCTAATCTGCAGCTAAAATTGTTAGTTGGGTACCTTCTTGTAAGTCGGTAGTCCGGCTCGTTTTATTGGCTCGATGCACGGTTGTAGACGATACACCCAGCTTATTTGCGGCATCTCGGAGAGAGAGGTTAGGGTTTCGCTTGAAACTACCGGCAACTCTCTTTGTCGTCTCAGCGGTTTCCGGTTTTCGATTTCCCCCCGATCCAGACTTCCTGGCTGTCGACAAACGTTCCCCAAACACTTTAATTACATTTGTAACGGTTGATTTGGCAACTTTTAGCGATTTTGCCAACTTTGCGTGCGAGTAGCTCGGATTTTAGCGATGCGCGAGCAAAATTTTGATACGCTGCTCTTCTTGCTTGGACGGCATTTTGACAACTGTAGAGTGAATTCCAAAATCAAAATAGGAGCAACATTCTACACACACACACCTTCAAAATGAGGGGTGTTCAGGTTTTTTAAATGCAAAATTGAAAGAAATACGTCAAGTTGATATTGACCAAATTTTGACCGTATCACCCTTTATCTCAACATTCCATGTATTTTGATGACACTCTGTAACATTTGGTGGGTGAGGGAGGATTAACATTTGAAGTCCCTCAAATTTTGCATATTCTGCATAAAAAATACATTGGCACACCTTCAGCACACCAGTCAGACTACAGAGTTATAACATGTTATAGCGCTATCTTGATGGTGGTTTAGATTACCGAAGTCAGTAAAATTTTACTGGGTTTTTGATTTGCGAATCACGCAGTAATTGCCTCATGTGGGGCCTCATAGCCTAGTCAATAAAGGCACGGTATTACCAAGCCGGAGGCGGCGGGTTCGATTCCCGGTCCGGTCGATGGAATTTTTCGGGTTGGACATTTTCTCGACTTCCCTGGGCATAGAGTATCATTGTGCTTGCCACGCAATATACAAATTCATGCATTGGTATTGGCATCGAAAGCTCTCAATTAATAACTGTGGAAGTGCATTTAGAACACTAAGTTGAGAGCACGCAATAAGCTAATATGCGCTAAGCAATAAGCTTGAAATGCGAATAAGAAGAAAGAAGAAGCAGTAATTGCCACAGCATTAATTTTCGTTACCGAACTGTCACTAGCCTAAGTCAAACTGTCAAAAACTACACACTTAGAAATAACTAATTTTACACGTGACGGAATCCATCTTTGACCTAAAATATTAAATGTAAACAAACATGTCATGTAACATTAAGTGCTCCGAGACTGAAAAGTTCGTTGCTCGACAAAAAGTACGTTTGATTGAGTTATATTTCGCGTCTGTTATTACTCAAATTTATGTTAAAATTGACGCTTGTATATGACACTCTCAGAGCACCTAAATTTACATGAATTTTTCTAAGTGTGTACTGTACGTTTGGTAATTCATTCGAGTTGCATTCGGCTATATTAACTGGTAAACCCACACAGTTCGAAAAAGTAGTGTAAATTTCTGTTCAATGCATCATCATAAATGGAGCGTCACATATCATATACGTTTACATTATATATCATGTATAGTTCTGACACATTTCATGCAATGTAGCAAATATTGTATACAAGAGCCCATCTTTGTAAACAACATTGTTTGCAAGTTGCTTGGTTGCGTGAAATGAAATACAAGTCTACGTGAAAATTCAGAATTTTTATCTGTGCAGTAAATGCGAACATTGTTTTCTTGGCATTTAACTGACAATGCAGTTATTTTTTCTTAGTAAATACCGTGTATGCCAGTTAAAAAAGCTTTGTTAGTGAAGTTCGTCATAGATTAACCCAACCGGTCAGCACTCGTGATTATTTCAGTTACCGTGGGGACGTAATTTGTTATTATCTCGGTCCCTTTCAAATTGTATCATTATTTGTGTACGGCCCTTATATTTGAAATGACGTTTCACATTCATATAGAGGTTTTCACGTCTGGTTGTATTGGTAGGATATATGAGAGCGTGTTAGTGCATAACCGAGGAAAATACATAACAAATCGATGTCAAACTCATTTTGACAGATCTACTTTCATACATTTGTAACATGTGCACGCCACACCATGAGAAACCAATCGTTCTCATGCCATAAATTAGCCTGACTTGACACAAACGTGTCAGGATCATATTGCATTTATTCAAAGGCGTTTTCCTTAACTGCACGTGCCTTAATTGCCTTCTCCTTTGCTAGGCTATCTCTCTCACACTATCTGTCTAAGTACAACTCCAAGAGCCTCTCGTAGAAAACTGTACCGATACTAAAAACAGTAATAAGGGATGGTCCATTAATTATGTCACGCAAATTTGGCCCATTTTCAAAAACCCCCCCACACCCCCTTTGTCACATTTTTTGTATGAACCTTGTTTTTTTTTGTATGGCTCGTCACAGTTTTGAAAACCCCCCTCCCCCCTAAATGTGTGACATAATTAATGGACGACCCCTAAAGACCCGATTCATTCTTATTTTGACAATTGAAGAAGAGACTCTATATCACGGCCATTAGATGACAAACCGTGACTTGTGTGTGTGTGTGTGTGTGTGTGCGTGTGTGAGTGTGTGTGTGTGTGCGTGTGTGCGTGTGTGTGTGTGTGTGTGTGTGTGTGTGTGTGT